GGGAGGGGGTTCTAGACTGATCCTTGTGATCGATTCCCCCTTTCTCCCTCCACCATCCCCTAATCCTACTGGTATCTCTACTCCCGTATTCCCTGTGTTGCCCCCTCTTATCTATAGCAATGTGCATGCTCTGGTCTAATCCAATTTGTAAGGTAGAACTGAGGTCATGACAGTGGTGTGAAGTAAGCACCAAAGAACTAGAGGATAGTTGTGTATTTCATCGGTGCTATACTGCACCCTGACTGGCTCATCTCTTCCTGTGACCCCTCTGTGAGGGGATGTCCAATTGTCTACAGATGGGCATTGGATCTCCACTCCATGCTCTCCCCACCCCACCCCCGCCAATTCACCTTGGGTATGGTTTTGTTTTGGGTCTTAGAACATTTCCATATATTTCTAATGCACATTTTGAAAAATGTTTGCATCTTTGTTTTTAACAATTTATTGGGATTAATGTTGAAAGTTGACGTGAAAAAAAACTAAGTTAGCATTTTACAATTTGTTTTATGACATTGAAATTTCAGTGTAGCAAGGCTCTCCCCACTGCCTCCCTGCATCTCCCCATTTCTGCTCAACCTTCTTGCCTTCCGAGGTTTTGGCTAGGTAAATGCTGCCCTTTGGGGCTGATCATATTTTCTGACATTATATTGTTTGTCTACCTACTTATTACTTGAATGTTAACACTTCAGGAGTCTTTTTTGATACATTTGTTTTTATTTTTGATACAATGAATTCATTCTAGGGGCATATACATAGAGTTCTATGTATTCTACCATTAAGCATGAATATCATAATCCAATCAAGTTTATCAAAAAACCATAAAAATTCTGAAAGATATCTATATACAACAAATAAATTTAAACAGCCTTTTATCATCAAAACATAATGGGGGAAGTTAAAGTATTAATTGAGATATGTGAGGAAGTTAGTCAAATATATGAGAAGGCTTCAGAAAGTTTGGAGAAAAATGGAATTGAGAAATAATAATTTTTCCATGACCTTTGTGAAGTCTCCTTGGATGTCACTGGTAAAGAGGGCAACTAAAGAAAGTTTGAAAGGAGCACTATTGAGTTTCAGTATTATCACTTAACAATTTCTGTTCATTTTGAGAAGACTTAAGAGAATTCGTTGTTAATGGAATACATTTCACTAGGCAAGAAGACTAATTGATTTACCCTTATGGGCCAATTCTTCTAAATTTATTTTAGAAAGTGGGTACTTAATCATTAATCAAGTGACTGCTATTTGTAGTTCTCTGGACTTAAATTGTTAGAATGCAGAATTCCTAATGATTGTGTGAATACACTTTATGTATACACTTATGTATATACTTAAAGCAAGCTTTGAATATTTTATTAATTAAATAATTGGTTTTGTAGACAAGAGAGGTTGTTATCCCGATTACAATGAGATCAAGTGGCCAAAGTACTGGGTTGATATTTAACAGAACTGGATGGTAATTCCTAAATATGGGTTTCCATGAAATAATGCCATGCAGTATTCCTTTAACAAGGCTGGAGGCACAATTGTTAAGCAGTTAAGTGCTTGGCGGCTAGCCTCCTGGTCCTTGGTTCAAACCCACCAGCACTTTTCAGGAGAGAAGACCTGAGGAGCTTCTTGTGTAAACATTACAGCTTTGGAATCCTGGTGCGGCAGTACCAGAAGCAGAAATCCTCCTTCACAGCCCCTCTGGTGGAATAATGGGGGACGCATTAAGCTGCTAACCACAAGGTTAGTGGTCAGAACCTGACAGTTGTTCTGCAGTAGAAAGAAGAGGTTGTGTGCTTCTGCAAAGATCGAAAGCCCTAGAAACCCAACTCTGTCCTGTAGGGTTGCTGTGAGGTGGATTGATCTGATGGCAGTGTTTGTTTTGTGTTTTGTTGGGCGGTTCCAACAGTAAATGTGCTCTCTGGTCAAATTTGAGGATGCAGGGTCTGAGGTTAGCTTTGGAAGAAAGTTGTGGAGATTTACTTCTGAAAAACCAGCATCAAAATCCAGATGAAGCACAGCTAAACTCTGATATACAGTGGGTGGCCAGGAGTCCGCACTTGACTTCATTTTTCTTTAACTCTCATGTCTCCCTAGTTAACCCTGGAATTGATAACTGGGGTGGTTTAAGCTATACTCATATACCAATACTGGTTCACCTATGAGTGTTTTAAAATGAAATATATTGGGGCCCTGTCATATTTTTATTGGTGTATTGATAAGCATTCACTTTGAATTCAATTCAATAGCAACACCATCAAATACAAGACATTTTAAAATAATCACATTTTTGGAAATTTTGGTTAAATCTCGAGCTAAACATACTCAGGAAATAGAAAAGCTCATTTGCTGTTTTGATAGATCAGGCATCTAACAGTAAATCAACACTTTGATGCTTATGAAATTGTTATATTAAGGAAACTATGAAACAGATATAGTCTTTGTAAAAATGACAGAACAAAAATAGTGCATTATAAGGTGTGTCAAAGTTTTAAGATTTTCTTGAAAACTAAGCATAATTCAACGTGGAAGCATGAACAAGTACAGCACTGACAATCCTGTAACTTTTTCTTCCCCCTTTCATTCTAATTTTTGAATTCTCATTTAATACCATAAGTCAATAAACTGCAAACTTTGGAAAAAGGAATGCATAAAAATTAAATCTTACTTTATAAATAAAATCAACTACTGGCCATCATGGGTTGAAAAAAGAAGAAAGTCAGGATGCATATGTTTAAAAATTGAGCCAGAAATTAAAGGAAGGATATGTGCTCAAAGGAGTTATTCAAGCAAATGTCTTTTTTAAGTAGTGCACTATCACCACCTGCTGGACATTTCTGCATTACAATAGATTTCAAGGTCCCTGAAAGTCTGTTGCTAAAATACGTAAATGTAAATAATACTCCTGGTATTCTTTGAGTTGTAGTATTGGGTCACACACACAATACAAACAAGAAAAAAAAAATCTATTAAAATAGAAATGTAGGAATGCAGATTCTTTTCTTCTCTATATACAAAAGTGATGCTAGTAGTAGACACTGCTTATGAAATATTTACTTAAGACAATTTTGAAAGACAAAGTAATTCATATTATCAACTGAATATATCCTTTTAAATTATACTGTATACTTTTAATTTTATTTAACATATTTTCTTGCTTACATAACATTTTCATTTGCAAAACAGGAACCATATATAAAACTCCACAAAAAGTGTGTATGAAACTGAAGATGTTTGAATTTTAAAAATTAAAATATTTTTTCATTTGATGTAGCCACTACTTACTTGAATTTATTCTGTTTTGGACTTAGGTTCATTGACCAAAGCACTTCCTTTTTTTTTTTTTTTTAAAACATTTTATTAGGGGCTCATACAACTGTTATCCCAATCCATACAC